ACTAGACCAGATTACTCCAAGCCCAGTCCAATCTGGCCTTGGACACTTCCAGGGATGGGGCAGCCACAGCTTCTCTGGGCAACCTGTGCCAGGGCCTCCCCACCCTCACAGGGAAGAATTTATTCCTAATATCCAATCTAAACCTTCTCTCTTTCAGTTTGAAGCCATTCACCTTGTCCTGTCACTCCATGCTCTTGTAAATATTTATATCATATGTATATATAATAATAAATAAATAAGTACATCACGTCTGTGTTGCACACGACTATTTTCATGGCCAACAGGAGAAAGAGCAGCATCCCAGGCTGAAAGCAAATCACAGAGCCAAAACAAACTTTTTTTTTCCCCCACAGGTGGACCACTAAATTCAGGATGACCTCTCATTTGGCAAAATTTAAAAAAAAAAAAAAAAAAGCTAATATTTTAGAGAAGCAGAATGGCAGAAAGTAAATAACAAATGCAAGCAAAAGAAGAAAAGAAGAAGGAATTGTCCCATTGAAAGGCACAGGATATTTCCAGGGACCTGAAAATTTCATCCACCCAGTAAAGATTCTTTGTCTATTTTTCTAGGACCCTGGGGCAAAACTGTCAATGCTTAAACCTACAAATAGTCCCTCTGCTTTAAGAAAAAAATTACTCCAAGCTGCAGTTCTTTATCATGTGTGAATCCTCCTTCCTTTTAAACGGTGTGTGAGGAAGCAAAGGCACAAACCCATCAAATACAAATATTTCAGAATTTAAAAGGTCGTTTTGCACCACAACCATTGCTGCTGTTCCTCTAAGTAGAGAGAATAACACCCCAAAAGTGTGTGAGCACTGAAGAAAGGGGCAAATTGCTGATGGTGCAAACTTTGTGCCACAATCAGTAGTGGATGAATTGGCTGTCAGCTCAAAAAGAAAGTAGATATGAGAAAGGGAGTGTTTGCTGGGCTGGTGTGGGAGCAGGGAGAGCCCACAATATTTGCCACAAGCACTTTTATCTGGTAAGCTATGAAAATTAATGAAAATAAATCATCAGGAAGGCAATAAATGGGTCTGCAGCAAACCCTCACCAAGGAGTGCTGAGACACTGTTTACACATCTAATGTTTGTTTTGAGACTCTGCAATGTCCCCAGGATGCTTCAGTGCATATGGTGTTGCCACTGTATTGCTTTTCCCTTTTTTAATTTATTGATCCAGGATATGAAAGTGTTCCTGGAGCCCTGAGTTGGTTTCTGGTTTTCTCCTCCCTTGGCTGGGAGGAGGTGGTGAACCTCAAGAAAACCTCGAAGAGCTTGGATGCACAGAGGTGAGTGAAATTCTGGTACCTGAGGAGCAGCAGGAGACACCAGAGGGTTGAGGAAACCAGGGACACCCCCCAGTGACACATTGATTTCCACTGCATTAGCAAATGGAGGGTTCTCATGGTGTGACAGATGCAACAGGTTATCTTCCCCCAAGGCTGTATCCATGTTAACAAATAAAACACCCCAATGACCCTTCTAAACCCTTCTGGCAAATGGCAGTGTCTACATCCCTAAATTTTAGTGTCTTCCCTATTTTTCTCAGAGATATGGTTGAAACATCCCCCTCAAGCTCTCCCAGTGGGCTCTTCAGCTTTCCCCAAACATGACCTGCTCTTCTCTGCTACCCCTGTTTAATAAGACATCAGCTCTTAATCAATATTTCAAACATTTAATTGACACTACAAGCAAAAAATCATCTTTTTCCTTCTCTGCCACGAGCAGGGACAACTTCCACTATCCCAGGTTGCTCCAAGCCCCCATCCAAGCTGGCTTTGGACACTTCCAGGGATCCAGGGGCAGCCACAACTTCTCTGGGCAACCTGTGCCAGGGCCTCCCCACCCTCACAGCCAAGAAGTTCTTCCTAATATCTAACCTAAATCTCTCCTCTTTTAGTTTAAAAACCATCCCCTCCTTGTCCTACCTGTCCATGTAAATAGTCATTTTCTCTCTTTTTTATGAACCCCCTTGAAGTGCTGGAAGGCCACAATGAGCAGTACAGAGACTTTGAACCTACCCACACAAAAACCACAGCACTGTGCTTGCACCAGTCTGTAAAGCTGGACCTGTGCTGATAATTTGATGGGCAGGTTTACACATTATTTGGTTCCTTTAGCCTGCAGATGGAGCAGCTGCAGCCAAACTGCCTCTCAGAAATAGCCCCTGGCCATGGTCATCCCTGAACCATGTCCAGACTGTCTGGGAGACACTCCCAGACCATTCCTGGCCCCATATCACAGGGTATTATGCTCTAGGGTGTGCACACACGTGGTCCTGAGGTCCTGTCATGAACCAGGGCAGAAAAATGGCCAGTTTTAAGGACAAATACAAAAATTAATTTAAAATGTTTGATTTTTTCAACTGTCATCAATTTAGGAGCACAAATGCAAAGCCTGGGAAGGGATATCACAGATCTGTGTTGACAAGGGAGATAAGATATTATCAAACCTGAAATAAATGATATTTTCTCAAACAGGGTCCTCTTTGGTGAGGCACAAACTGCTGGATTTCCAGATGAGGATCACAGAAGGTGTTTTTTTTCCTCTTTGCAAGCAGAGGGTTAAGATGGACTGTGCAGAGATTAGGTGGATTTTCCCAGAGGTGTGAGCTCAACCTTGGGAAAGTGCTGAGTACAGGGATCAGTAATTAGTGATGGATAGCTATTCACCGGGGCCATTAGCTGGAAAGAAAAGCAAACCTGCAGCATTCTCAGCTGGAAAGAAAAGCAAACCTACAAGAGGCTCCACATTCCTTCCCTGCATTTCCCTGCCTCCTGACAGCATCCCGACGACCCCCTCGCAGCAGAGGCTTCGTGTCTCACCGGGGACTGGCATTTCCAATCAATTAGACATGTCACCGCTGAATTTCTCTGCTAATTACTCGAGTTTATTATGTCTAAAGCCAGGTTAAATGCAGAATTCCCGGGGTCAAACGGGGTCACCCAGGCAATCAGTTCCACATTTTCCATAGCAAAAGAGATCCCCGCAATCAGTCACTGCCAAGTGGCTCCTAATGACCAACCTGCCAGTTAATGGCCTGAGGTGAAAGTCTTCAGGGATAGATAATGCTCTTGGAGAGAGAGAGGAAGCCCCTCAGCGTCCAGGAATGGCTTGGGCTTACTCCCTATGAATTTGGATCCTTTTTTGGGATAATAAGAAAGCTGAGATCTACAGGCACAGGCCACACTGCAGCGTTTGGTTTCACTGCCAGAGAGTGTTCCCTGTTTTATTGCATTTAACCACTAAATGAAATAAAACAAGGACATGGGAACAAAGGATGCTTTGTCCTGATGGAGGCCAAGGCAGTGAAAACGTCTGCCTGTCTCCTCCGTGCCAGTGCTCCGTGAATCCAACATTAATTATGTGGATCACCCTGGAGTTCCTACTCCATCAAAACGCATTCCTGATGGGATGCTTGGGGGAAACACGTGGGTTACCTTCGCTCTTTGGGGCAGAAACTACTGACACGTGAAGTCAAAAGTGCTTGGAAGGTTCCTTCCAGGGAAAGCTTCCCGAATTATGTCATGAGAGCAGGGATCTTGTACAAACACTGTCTTTCATCCTGGAGAAATCCAAAGGGCTTTACAAGTTATAAATACATCACAAAGGCATCCATGGATCCAGACTCTCAGGAGAGCAGGTATCTGGGTAGGAGTTCAGGACTGGAGGACAAGAAATGAATTCATCAGGTGAACTAAAGGAAAGGATTTCTAGGGAGTCAGAATTATGTGAGAAGTGCTCGGATTGGGATGAGAACTAAGAGTTTAAGGATCATTGCTTCAAAAAAATCCCAATTTTAACATGACCTTTATTCAGGCAATGACATGGGGGACATTTGGCAGAGGAATTGTCATGTCCATGTGCAACATCCACTGAAGGGGCACCGATTTATCCACACAACTTGGTGCATGGATTTTTCTGTCCCCTCAAATCTTCCCAACCAACCAAACACAAGTTGTTGAGCAGGCCAAGGCTTACACTACCAACAAAAATACAGATATACCCTATACAACACAGTATTGACCAAGTGCTCAGCTTGCTGGTTCAAAATATCTTTCTAAAGGACAAAAAAAAAAACAAAAAAAACCCACAAAAAAACCAACAAAGCAAGACAGACTAATTTAGGTCTCAAGGATTCTCACTATTTCTTCATCCAGTTAGGAAATGAAACAAGAAAATAATTTTCAGGGTAGCTGAGTACAGTTGTCTCCAATCACAAACTGGAAAATCACAAAGACTGGAAATAAAACCCCAAACCTTGAAAAAAAAATAACATCACAGTATGACTTTAGAGTTATATTTTTAATAGAAAAGAACATAAGAGCCAGGTTGCCTTTCAAGGGCAGGTTCTGGAATGGATTTCATTTTCCTGTTCCTACTGCACACATCTATGATGATAATGACTATATCAAGTCATATAAACTGATGGAAGATATTTAGCAGGGGCCTTAAAGCAAGAAAGACTCAAAGCCATGAGTGCAGAAGACACAGCAAACTCTGGAGCACAGTTTTCCCCGAGTCTGACAATGAAATTCCTATTAATCCCCACTAACATGGAGCGTGCTTAGGAGTTCTGAGGCATCACATGAAAAACAGAATATGCATTAGAAAATGATAACTCTGTGCACTTGTGGTGCAAGGGAAAAGCCCCAAGAGAGCAAATACTTGCTTCAAAGACAGTAATAAGGCACATGAGCCTGTAATGGAAACAACTTTTGAAGCATGTTTAAAATGCAGTAATTAAGGGAACAGTCCCAGACAGCCGCCGGGCACCGATCCGGGAAAGCACTCAAGGATGTGTCAAATTTAAGAGCTTAAACCCAAGAGGTGTGGAAGTGCCTGTGCCCCTGAGCCACGGGCACTGCCTTGCCCAGATCCTCCCTCTCAGGCTGGGCTGGTGTGGAATAACCAAAGCCAGGGGATGATTAACAAGCTGTGCTTTCCAGTGACCTGCAAAGGAGAGATCTGTGCGAGGCAGCCAGAGGAGGAGACCTGGCTGTCAGGGAGATTGGAGGAGACAGATGTTTAATGGAGTCCAGGATTACAGATCTGCCAGGCTTCACATGTAATCACCAGCTTCTTAGGCTTCCTCTTTCTTCTCCCCTTCTTCTGGGTCTGTTACAGGGTCAGGGGCTGGGGGAAGGGAGGGTGGAGATTTTCAGATTTCCAGCTAAATTCCTTGAGCTGCCCTTAATACTCTGACCTATTCCTAGCTGAAACCACAACCTACCAGCCTGGCAGGACTCAGAGAGACGAAGGTGGATATTTTTTTTGTTGTTGTTTAAAACATGAGAGGGATGCATTTAACTCCAGAACCTTTTCCCAGAACAGCTCTGTAGCTCTACTGAGCAGCCTGTGTGTGACTCCACAGAGGAACAGCACCACAATCAATAGTGCCAGGTGACCTGCAACTCCACGTGTCAGGCAGCTCTGTGCCCCAGGGGACACGTCTGCATGGCTTCCCACCTGTCACCCGCTCCTGAGGATCAATACTCCCTGCCATTCTCACCCTGGGAATGACTCTGCAAATGCTTTTTGCATTTATGGCCGTTGCTCACTCCTTCCTCCAGCCTTACTTTTTGTCCTCTGTGCAAGGCAGGGGGTAGCTGTCTGCAGAACCCCATGAATTGGAGAACCAAATATTCCCACTTAAAAAACATAGTACAGGAGGAAGGAGACCTGGTTAAACTGAATGATCCACCTCATTCCTCATGTCTTGACTGCAGGCATTCCCTTACAATTGTGTCCCTAACATGGATACTTAAAGGCAAGGAGTCCCATGGATGAATTAAACCATCCTCTGCAGAGCACAGCACCCTGGAAAGCCTCTGTGCACCCTCCAGCTCCTGTGCTGCTGCTTTGAGCAGCCTGTGGAGGAACCATGCTGGCATGGGGATGGCTTTTTTGGCAAGCCAAGAGATGAATGCTGACATTAGTTCAAGCTGAAGTTCAAGCCAAATGCAGATCCACAGATGGCACTGTGAAAGCTGTAGTTCTCCCCTCAAATATTGAACATGTAGAAGAGGGCACAGCTGCAGAGTTCAGGCACAAACACACCACCACCATGCCTGAACACAGGTCTTGTAGGGTGAAAGGCTGGATCAGGCACTAAATTGAGTTAATGCACCCATGTAGACATAAGTGCACCCCAAATCCTGGCCCAGGGGTGATCTGGACACTCTGATCTGTCAGTATTCCTCTGGATGGGATGAAGAAAGCTTTAACTCATCTACAGGGGGGTTACAAAGAGGACAATTATTGTCTCAAGAAGCATTTCCCTCTCTGATACCCAGCAAAGCTCAGGCTGGATTTCTGATGGCAACTGAGAAAAAGTCCCTCTGAGCTTTGGGATCCAACAAAGCCTTGCAGCTCTCACCAGGGCAGACACACCAGCCTCAGGTGTCAGGAGGAGACCTGAGTTTCCAATAGTCACTGGTAGGTGTTACAAAGAGTTCCAGAAGAGGTCCTGACCTTGGAGATATCTTCTGTACTTACAGGACACGTGGAGCTGCAGTGGTTTGCACACAGCTGATGTCATAGAATCATAAATTCCTAGAACATCCTGAGTTGGAAGGGACCCACAAGGATCATCAAGTCCAACTCCTGGCCCTGCACAGGACACCCCAACAATCCCACCATGTGTCTGACAGTGCAAGGACTCTATGAGGAAATGAGACCGAGTCTCCCAAATCCTGGACTGTCTCTCAACTCCAAACCTTTCCTCCTTTCCAGTGCACTAAGCATAGTATTGGTTTTAGGGCAAAGTGGGGCACTTGAATACAGCATCAACTGGCTCATGAAAGTGTTTCCAAAGCATAAAAAGAGCCTTAATTCAAGTGTGAAAAGGGACAGCCTTAATTCAAGGCTGAGGGGACAGTGGGATATGAAATTCCAGATGCCCATGCATCTCATGGGATGGACACAGCCCCCGGTGGAATTTCTTCCCTTGCCATGAATGGCTCATTTGGGACACCTCCAATACCTTGAATCAGTTCCTCACCTACTCATCTCAGCTTTTGGAGTTATTTTTATCCCTGCTGGAACACACAACCAACCCAGACGGAGGTTAAGGGACTCCCTACTCCATGAATTATCCCACCCCTGCTTACTCCTAAATACCCCGTGCCAGCAGCAAATGAGTTAAAATCAAGCCAAATGGTGACTTTTTTTTTTTGCAATAATATGCCTTTTGCTGATAAAGAATTTTTTCAAAAGAAAAAACAGCTCAATGTGCTGCAGTTTTTGCCAGTGGGCCAAACCACTTTTATCATTCTTGGCTGAGAAACACAGGCACTCACACAGTGTCTTTTCCATCCTGAGCTGAGCATCCATGCGGGATTTTCCATCCATGCAGTCATTTCTCAGAGGGCGTCTGACCTTATTTAACAGGCCCTTAATTAGGTGAAAGCAAATGCAAGGGAGAGCTGAGTTCAGCCTCTGATATCACTGAGGGTAATGAGGGGTGTTTCAGGAGCAGGAAAGAACAATCAAAGAGAACAAAAAGTTGCCTTTGCTGCCAACTGGGATTACACTCATTGGCTTGATAGGGATTGACTGAACTGGAGGAACTGTTCTTCCCTATCTGTTTTGTACAGGACTGCTCAAGAGCGGGACAGCTGGCAGGGAAATGGGTGCTTTGGAGCCCTCTTCTTTTGGGGATTTAGAGGATGATGAATGTGACGCATCTTTACAAGACGGTGTGAACTTCAATCCATGATTTGGGCTTCTTAGAAGCTCTGATGGCCCTGATCTTACCTAGGATGTCAGTCTGGTTTAGGAACAGCCAATTATAGAATCATAGAAGGGTTTGGGTTAGAAGGGACCTTAAAGACCATTTATTTCCACCCCCTGCCATGGGCAGGGACACCTTCCACTAGAACAGGTAGCTCCAAGCCCTGTCCAAGCTGGCTTTGAACATTTCCAGGGATGGAGTATCCACAGCTTCTCTAGGCACCATTTTCTGGTGCCTCACATCCTCTAAGTAAATAATTTCTTCCTAACTTCCTAACAGTTATTCCAAGGAAGAGATGATGCTGCCAATACCCTTCCAGAAGTCGGTTAGTGAGGTCCTGCAGAAGACCCGATTACTCCAAAGAGTGGGTGTGCACAGTGGTCATCAATACACACAGTAACCCCTCTACAAGTTGAGATTTAATACTTCAAGACCAGAGTTGAATCACAGAAATTACAGAGATCTGCAACAACAGCGGCAAAATTTACAGTTTCTGGGTGTCTTTGCAGCTTTTAAATCCCCAGGTCAAAAAGTCACACCTATTAGACAACCTCAATTTCCATTTCCAAACAAGACCATTTCTGTCTTTTCTGGTTCTGGCCCAATGATGAAAACCATGGTCTGCACACAACCTGATGGCTCCCAAACAAACGAATGCAAATTAAAAGGAAAAAAACCCTCTCGAGTTATTTTGAAAACTTGTGATCTTGAGCCAGTGTTTCTGGGGACAGCCTCAAATTGACAATCCCCTGGAAACAGCCGTTCCAAACCTAGGAGTTAATGCTACTTGATATCATGTGCAAAGACCACATTTGGAGAAATTAAGCTGTGATTAAACAAAGTTATTAACGATTGCGTTAACTAATTGATAGGATAATGTAAGCAGCAGACAAGATTTCAATCAGTGGTCGTGAAATCAGAGGTAAACTGGCCAGTCCCCACCTCTTCTTTGGCAGCTAATTTGCACACAATAATTCTGTTGCTGGTAGTGACTCAGCGGCAAAGGGAAGAAGAATAAATCTCAGGAGACAAATAGGTAGAAGCCTTCTCCATTTTAATGAGAAACACACACTGAAAGGCCAAAAAGAGCCTGTCAACATGATTTGCAGCACTGTTACTTAATTTTTACCAAATGTGCTTCCTGCCACGCTTTAGTAGAAGTACATATTTATTTGATATTTCACTGGCAAAGTTTAAAAGAGCCTCCAAAATACCCATCTGCTTCTGCTACGCATGACCCTACCAGTCTCACCTCAGACACACTGGAATGGTTTTAGGGAATGATAGCACTGCACAGATGTGATTTATTCCCAGATTGGGGATGGCTTTCTGCTAATTTTCAGGGAAGAAGCACAACTTTCCTCTGGAGCATGAAGCCGACTCACCTACGTGGAGCAAACCTGCAAATCTCCTCCCTTGAGTCAAACACAGAAGGTTTGGGGTTGGAAGGGACCTTAAAGATCATCCAGTTCTACCCCCCTGCCATGGGCAGGGACACTTTCCACTAGACCAGGTTGCTCCAAGCCCCATTCAACCTGGCCTTGGACACTTCCAGGTTGCTCATAAGTAACATAAGGTTAGTCAGAAACTGGTTGCAGAACAGTCTTCCCTAGGCACCAGTAAAACAAAAGTAAGAGGAAGCTCAAAGCCTTGGGATTTAAATAATATGAAGCTGGGGCCTCTTGCCATTTGCCTTCTGTGTTTTGAGCCTTTAAGTTCACCTTCTCCGGCTCTTCCCTTTGATCCCTCTGTATCAAAGGGAAGAGCTGGGATTCCTTTGTCTTGGAGTTGCTTCCAGGTTCCGCATCAGCTTTGCAAAACACACCCAGCACTGGGAGAGACTCAGGAGTCCAACATGCTGAAACAGTTATTTAGGGGGTGATGGAGGTGACCTTCCAAGGGCTAATCCAAAGCCACACAAGGAAAATGAGCATCCTGCACCTCCTGGCATGGAGAGCTCTGTGTGTGTGTCAATGCTTGAGTGTGAAGGAAGCAGAGAGGCACGGCCAGACAGAAGTGTGGGGAATGCTGGGAGAGGAGAGAGCAAAGGAACAGGGATACCAGGAGTGGAGGAGCAAGTGCAAGCCTGCAAATGAGAGGACAGGGCCATAAGGAGGGATGGGATCAGACAGAGAGACAGGGTGAGTGGGAAAAGGGTGAAAGAATTATCTCAATCACTGCAGAGAGTTCTAGAGAGCTTGTAGGTTTGGGCTTCTCAATTGGGAAGAGAAAGAAATTCAGAGATTAGAGGAGGAAGAGGGAGCCCAGGAGTCTGTGCATGTGTGATGGGGAGGGAGATGCAGAGACACTGCAGCAGAGACCCTCCTGTTCCTCCAGTAGCACTTGCCATCTGTTCCTCATCCCCTTAGATCAACTGTGAGGCAGAGGGTTCCTCGGGGTCTGCACATCAGAAACAGAAAAAGGAAAAAGAAACAGACCAAGCCTCCAGTGATGTAAAAAATCTGGAGGGGAGCTGTTTACAAGGCCATGGAGTGACAGGACAAGGGGGAATGGCTTCAAACTGAAAGAGAGAAGGTTTAGATTGGATATTAAGAAGAAATTCTTCCCTGTGAGGGTGAGGAGGCCCTGGTACAGGTTTCCTGGAGAAACTGTGGTTGCCCCATCCCTGGAAGTGTTCAAGGCCAGGCTGGATGGGGCTTGGAGCAACCTGGTCTAGCGACTTGTACCTCTCTCAGAGCCTTTGTGAAGGCTGGAGCTAAGTGGATGATCTCCTGATAAATCAAGACAGATCCCATGTGTGCTCCAACCTTTCCCTGCTCCATCAACAGGGACTTGAAACACACATTCACACCTAAAACACACACATGGCCACATCTCTGTGAAATCATGAGACCTTTATATACTCTGTCTCTGGGTTTCAGTGACAAATCCTCTCTCTTTGAATCACTCTTCCTATAAAATATGTATTTCTATATAATGGAGCCCCTGTGATGGTGAAAAGCTGTTGCATCCTGCTCCCAAGAGCACTTCATGGCTGATAGTGGGCAAGGGCTGCTTGTCACCCCTTGATGTTCAGAGGAGCTGCAAGGGAGAACTTGTTTCAGCCACAGACCACAAGGCTGAGCTGGGTTCCCTGTTCCCTTTGCAGCCCAGGGAGTTCAGCTCCCAATGAAAACCCCCATGTGCAACCCAAGGACCCCCAAGTGCACTGAGGAAAGTGCTCCCATGCAGAAGTTGACCTTAAAAAAGGTCAGGGGAGATATATATATATATATATATGTTTTTGGCAGCACAAGAAAGCTGCTTCTTGTAGTCTGATTTATAGTCACAGCTTTTTGAAGGTGTTTTGGGTTAAAGGTGCCTTGCTGGGACTGCCAGAGCCACGATAGGACTGGGACAAGCTGGAGAAATTGGCTTTATCACTGGGGCTTCTATTCTTGTTGAGGACTGGTGAGTGATGAAGCCAAGACTGGAAAAAACATAGAGTTTGAAGCATAAATCCTATGAAAGTAGCTGTTTAGCCTGGAGAAAAAGAGGCTCAAGGGCACCTTACTGCTCTTTACAACCACCTGAAAGGAAGTTGTGGTGTGGTGGAGGTCGGTCCCTCCTGTCAGGCAACCAGTCACAGGACAAGAGGGAATGGCCTCAAGTTGCACCAGGGGAGGTTCAGGATGGATACTGGGAAAAATTTCTTCATTGAAAGAGTGGCCAGATGTTATAACAAACTTCCCAGGGAGGTGGTGGAGTCACCATCCCTGGAAGTGTTCAAAAAGCGAGTGGATGTGGCACTTCCCAATATGGTTTAATGGGCATGGTGGTATTCGGTCAAAGGTTGGACTTAACAGTCTTGGAGGTCTTTCCCAACCTTAATGATCCCATGATTCTATGAAAACAGCTTTTAATGGAGCAAATATACAGCCAACAGAACCACTCTTATCTCTGGGATGCAGACAGGGTTGAGCCCAGCAGACAGAGGCAGGAGAAACCTCCTCCTTCCCCAGGGATGGGACGAGTCCTGGAGCCTGTCTATCTTTAAAAAGGTCAGGTCAAGCCATCACCCTCCTGTCCTTCATCTCCAAGGGCCTCACAATAGCACTGTGGGCAGTGAAAACCTCTGATAAGTCAGATCTTCATCCAGTTATGAAAAGATCTGTATGACATGGCTTGTAGGGTGGATGGGATATTTGCTCCCCAAGGCCAAGCTGTTCCTAATCCTGACTCCAGTACAACCCCTGCACCCACTCTCAGTCACCAAGGCTCTGCAAATGCTAATTCATTCAAGCACTTGAAATGTGTTGTATCATGAGCACACAGGCAGTGACTGCACTGCTGTGGTGGCAGCTCTGTCACTCACATCACTTGCTACGCCTCTGATAATATCAGACTTGGGCAAAGGCTTCTGTAGCATTGAGTGTTTCACAAAATGGGATCAGGTTTTAAATAACAACAGTCCCTGCCCTTTTCACTAACCTCTCTCACAGAGACACCCATGAGCTTCGAAGAAGGGTGGGAGGAGATGATTGAATAAATCACACAGGGACTCAGGGTTCCTGAGTTCTCTACAGGGCTCCATCAACAATCTGGGGCCCCATAAAAACCTGCCTAAGCTTGTGCTTTAGCCAATCACAGAATGCACCCACTCCTGTTTAAGGGTCAGGGATGTGTAGGTAGTCACCATGTCAGCAAGAATATGTTCATAGAACTTTCTGGAGAAAAATCAAATTGCTCCTCTCGTTCCAGATTTCGTTTTTTTAAGGAAGTGAGGCATTGAACATTGCTGTCCCACTGGCCTTTCCTACAGAGATTTGAGACAGTTCCTGGGCCCAACCAGCCCAAGGGAGCCAAACATCTTGTCTCTGTAAATCTGAAGGGCTATACAAAGCCAGGGGTGGTATCTGAGGTGACCTGGCGCCAAATGGACCTGCACAAAAAGGACACTGAGCAATTTGAAATCAGTGGATTGGTTATTGCCATATCAACATGCTCAAGGAATTCCATTCTATGCAGAAGACGAAGACAAAGGGCCCACACAGTAAAAGGACATGAAAAAGGAACGGTGTCATGACCGAAGCCTCACAGGACCTCAAGCATCACCTGCCTCCAGCTTCCCACCCCATCCCAGCAGGTGACTGGGACTGTTTTCACTTCAGCACTGGAGATGACATTCAGTTCTTGCCCAGAATGGAGCAGACTGGAAAGCAACCGCAGCCCTGTCATCATGTCCTGTTCTCCTGAGTGATGACATCTCACAGCCTCTTTGATGAGGAGGAATGTACAGAGTTGCTCCCCCCCCTTACCAAATTTTAGGTATAAATATCCACAGTAGAGAGAAATGGTCAGAGGTATCACAGAGGCACAAAACACTTCAAATGAAATGGTTCAAGCAGAAGAAATGACACTCATAGGTTGGCAAATATAACCTCCCTACTGTGTATGTGGAGAAGCACTACCAGCCTGTCACATCTGAGCCCTTGGATCACAGCAACCCTCTTGAACACCTGCCCCAAAAATCTCATATATCTCTGCCTTACAGGCCAGGAGAAAATACCTCTTATCTTAGGTAAAGGTTAATAATTCCATTGTTAGCCACTGTCTGGAAAACAGCCACCTGAGGAGGATATGAGGAAGGTCTATAAAAACGTGGCAGGTGAGGAGGAAATGGTTGTTCACCGTGGCCTTTTTAAGGCAGGAATTTGTGGGTGGTAAAACTGCCACAGGAGTGGATGAGAAGAGGGGATTTTGTGCCCCATCCCCATCCTTGAGGCCACTGACTGTTGACCACTGGTGCTGTCAGAGGGTGGGAGCACCCAGCACGTCTTGGGGGGGACCTTGGTGTTAGGGAACTGGGTGATACTGGGAGGAAATCACACTGCTCTGAAGGTGGCAGGTGTCCTCCAGGCCATCCATAAAGACAATAAGGAGAATATCAGGTGGCTGTTTTATGTTTGGTGCCGCTTACATGGCCAAGGCCGGGGTTCATTGAATCCTGGAACATCTGTATGGGTCTCAGTTGGACTGGTGACCTCCACTGAAGTAGCACTGTAGGGCACCTGCCATCACCCAAACACAGTCCTTCTTTGCTCCCCTTATTTCTGCAGAGCTAGAGCCCCTCATGAGCATTTTTGAATAAACCAGTTACAATAACTCAAGTGACCCTGCACGTCCACAAGTCTAATTATACACAGTGGATTTTTTCATGCAAAAGTAGTTCCTCCTCCTCCCACCCCAACAGCAAACTTCTCAAGGCCAAGCATTCTGCTGAAATCATCCAGACTTCCATGCTGAACACCCAGATTGATCCTTCCCTGGGATCTGGCTGTTAGCATTTGCAAAATAACACAAATAACACAACAGGGACATCACATGAAACTTGGCCTGCACCCTGGCAGGCTGCACCCTACACTCTTGATCACTGCGTCTCAAAGAGGCCCCAACCTCTCCAAACACTCCACTTGGAGCCAAATGATTCAGCATTACACTTTTCCATGTCTGTGGCAGATGCAGCCACAGTTTGAGTGGGGGTGGAGAGCAGTGTGGTACCAGCAGATGCAGCAGCAGCTCCTTGTCATGCAGCCAGCAGGACGTGGACTGCACAAAGCAACGCTGGGGGTGGCTTCTGCCCTCTTAATTCTCTGCCCCTGGCCCCTAAATATTGCATCAGTGTATAAATGCAATGGTTTCTGAGCATGAAAAGCCATGAGATCAACAACAGAGCACATCTTTGTAGGAACTGTGATCACTGTCAGAACTTCACGTGCAGTCCTGACATCCATAGAATGATGGAGCCAAAAGCTTTCAAAGCACCATGGACTGGTGGAGTTTCTTACCTGCTTCTCAGACATGATGTAGAGGTGCTCGTGGTCCACTGAGAAGGCCATGTCCCTCAGGATGGGGCCAGTGTCCACCACCTGCACAATCTCATACTCCAGGGTGTTCTTGGTGGTGCCATCCACACGGATCTGAAAAACAAAAGCAGGGAAAAAACATGAGTATTTTTCCTCCTTCCACTGAAAATGTAGAATAATCATAGAATCACAGAATGGTTTGGGTTGGAAGGGACCTTAAAGATCATCCAATTCCAACCCCCCTGCCATGGGCAGGGACACTTTCCACTAGACAAGGTTGCTCCAAGCCCCATCCAACCTGGCCTTGAACACTTCCAGGGATGGGGCAGCCAAAGCTCCTTTGAGCATCCTGTGCCAGGGCCTCCCCACCCTCACAGTAATATGTATATATTTATAATATATGTACGTAATAATCATTGGAGAAATGCATTGTGGTCCAGGTTTTTTGGACAACTACCACTGTCATCACAAAGTGGACTTTTCCCTTCCTCTTCACTGAAAGGATAAAGCAGATTTAACCACCTCTGCTGGTTCCATCAGCACAAGAGCACTGGAGAACAATCCAGGGCCTGCTTGCTATTATCTGGCACTGTCACTGTGCTGCTGTCATTGCCTGGACAAATCTACCACTCCGAAAATGATGGCACAAGGGAAGGATTTGTGGTGGTGATGAGCAAAAAGATAAAAAACACACAAGAGCCTGAAGGACTGACTCACTCAAATGCTACTCAGATAATATTATTGCTCTTCTTGCTAATGTTCCACGAGGCAATACATTATTGCAGAGTGTTCAATGCAACACAGACTATTTCTCTTGTTGATTGCACATATCAGATATTGAAATCGGTCCTGCACGAATATGGCACCTTATGATTCCAGACACATCTCATAACGGGGTGTCACTTAGGAACATCAATAACTGGGATTACGAGGAGGAACAAGACATACAGTTCCCAGTCTATCCCTGACTGTGATCCAGTGAATACAGAAGAAAACGCAGAAAACGGCAGAGGTTTCTTTACCTGTCTAAAAACGATTTCTAGAGTTGGGTTCAAAAGTCAGCCAGAGAAGGTTTGCAATCCCTTTTGATATATAACAATTCAGGATAAACTAGCTATTCACAGGAGTCCTTCTGGATCTTGTGAAGCTCTTTACAGCAGCAGACCCCACAGTCAAGCATTTCAAGATGCATCTACATTCCTTATCTCCCTCACTGTGTTTTCACTGTGTTGCCTTTCACTTTCTGAGAATCTTCTACCCTGTAGCAACACAAACATCACAGTGTCCTTTTCTAGAAGAAACAAAGTTGTAGTAGGTCTTGCTCCACATCATGATCTTGCTCTACATCATGATCTCCATACCTTCCTGACCAAAGCTCCCCAGTCCCTGGTTTGTACTTGTGCAGTTTGGGAGCTGAGCAAAAAGCACCCTTCCCATCCAAAGGGAATAACAAAATGTGGAGAACTTATGGCACCAAGACCAGATCCCACTGTTCCCTGGCACAGTCCTTGAGCTTGTTCCTTCTGTATCAACCTTTCAGCCAAGAAACTGAGCCTGAATCGTCTTCTGTGTTAGAAAGTCAAAGAGAAAGGAAGAGAGGGAATGGCAAAGCGTCTGGAAGGGCTGTATGAGCAAAGGGCAGCAAGGATTTACAGGTTCTTATCTTTGCCTTTCCTCAATCTACTCAGATGCTGTGGGACAACACAGAAATATGATTTCCCCAGGAAAGACAAGGAAAATGAAGCAGAAAGGAGTTAGAGGGGCTCCCTGTGCCAGCAGAGGCTACGGAGGGTGCTCAGGAATGCTCAGATCCTACGTTCTATCCATGAACCTCCACAGACATGGGTGCATGTGCAGGCACTGGCTGTTGGGCTGGTCAAATGACACCAGAGGGTCTGCAGTTCATTTGTCATCTTGATGGATCTGGTGATGACAGCGACACATGTCTCAACATCCACACACAAAGAGGTCAGGGCCTGAAGCCCAACTCTGAGCATCCCTTCCTCCCAGTGGCTCTGGCTACCTGGGAGGAAAGGGCTCGTTTCCCTGGTCCCTCATGGGTGAATTCAGCTCCTTCAAATCTTTATTCTTGGGAGTGGACACGGATGTGAATCACCCACGAGGTCAAGGGCAAAGATGCCAACAGGCTCAGGATGAGTCATTCCCCTTAGGACAGTCAGGACAAGGGAAGGAGAGGGAGAGGGCTGCAGGTTGAGAGCACAGGAGTCTCCCTGCTGGGGCTCTGCCCTGGGCAGCTCAAATACCCCCACAGCAGGAGCCTTTCCCATTTCCCTCTGAGGCTCTCCAGCTCCAAGTTCTCTCTATCAGGGAGCAGTCAGTGAGCTTTGTGTGCTGTCTCCTCTCTGCCTCTCCCCCAGTCCCTTGTGGCTGCTCATCTCTGTCAGAGCATCCTCACCCTCTGCTGATCCCTGTGCTAAACAAACCTCACATCTTCGCTGCTTTGACCTTGATTTTTCAGCATCATCGGGGTCAGATCTGCAGGCCACCAGATATGTAAGCAGGCAATTATCACCCCAGGGCTCAGACACCGTCCTCAGCCTCTGCTGGGCCCCATTAGAGGGGAAAGAGCTGGGAGATGGAAGAGGCAAGGCTGGAGAAACAGCCGGCTGGAGTTAACAAACCATGGAGACAGGAGGCACAGCCCCCAGGGATCTCCCCCCTGCTTTTGGTGCAGGTAAAAGATTGCAGAGGCTTCACACCAGGAACACAGAGCTCCTCGGAAGTGATTTAACAGCGATTGCCGGCCTAATTGCCTGAAAAGTCATTATTTTGCCGACGGGGAGGGAGGGAGGAAGGGAGGGAGGAACAGGGGTTCGTTCCACCATCCGTGTGCAAACACACACAAGTGAGCTCATGCACACACATGTGAGTGCAGAACCTCTCTCCCTAGTTAAAATTAGTAGCTAAAAGAAAAAGAGAATTGAGAAAAAGGCCAGAAAATCTGGCAGACATCAACCCACACTGCACAGACCGTGCAAGCCCTGAGCCAGCAATGAGGTGATTATGGGAGACTGCAGCCAGGAGTCTGGCCTTTAACTCAAATCTTTACCTGCCTTAAACTCTGTCTTTTTTATGTTGGACCCCAGGCACGGAGCCCAAAGGATCTCCAAGTTTCCAGCACATTCTTCACAGTCCTGAGCATCAGACAACACAACAACAGTTACTCCTTAAGAGAGATTTATTCCTGGCTCCAAGGCTCCCACTAGAACCAGGGTAGCAAAAAGAAAATCAAAAGAAGAGCCTGTGAAGGTGAAATGAGAAGATTCTCATCAGGTGATCATCACTAAAGTCAAGAACACAGACACAGTCTCTGCTTGGGAAGCTCCCCAAGTTCCCAATTGCAGGGAATTTGAAGCACACACCAGCCATTTGCTCTGTTCCTGCTCTTCTCTGCTGGCATCAGCCACAAGCCCCACATGGAGCTGGGTGCTGGGATGGATAGAGTTTGACTGAAATATAGGCGTTCTTATATTCAAGATGATCTTATTAGGCTGTGGGATGAGAGCCTGACTGACAGTCCATTTGGGATTGCTCCTTGAAAGAACCTGTGAACCACGAGCACCTCTGCAAGGCAAGAGGGAGGGGAGCAAGAAGCGATGGAGGGGCTCCAGGACCACAAACAAATCTCAAAATGCTCAGTCTGATCCAGCCTCCACTACCAGCTGCGTGCACACTGATCCACAAACACCCTCGTCACCTCCACCACAGGATCACCCACCTGCTCCCGCTGCCTAAACGTCTGTCTTGGCTCCTTGGACCCCAAGCTGCTCAGCTCAGCACCCCGAGCTGCCCTGCCCTCATTTAACCCAACGCACACGTGGGAGTTCCCGGGGACCAGCATTAATCCTGCTTCCTGGAAGGCTCCGCTCGCCGGGCTCGGCTCTGCAAAGCCAGCTGCTATTAAAACATCAGCATGATGCTTCCCGAAGGTCAGCTACCAGGGGACCCATTCTGGCAGCTGTTTGTTTGTTTGTCTGAACATTATCTAGGCCTGGGCTGTTTATTTACATCCATTGAAGTATCAGACAATAAATATCCTCTCCCAGTAGCAAACAGATGCTTGCACTCGAATGTTCTGGCGAGCGCTGACTTCAAAACGATCCCCTTAATGAGCAAACAACACTATTAATCTTTAAAGACACAGGCTCTGGCCTTCTCTGAGCTCCCACCCTGGTCATGGCTAGACCCACAGGCATCCTGGCAAGCAGCCCGTGGGTCTGGGAGATGACTGGACACTCGACTGGTGCTTTTCAGTGTTATCTGGGTCTCCTCAGCGGCTGAGGGATCCATGGGAGGGTGATGCTTGAGCACAGTTTCCCCATCAAGTTGGTGACAGATGCCTCAATGACACTAAGAAGGAGATGGGGTTTGGAGGTTGGGATCATATAGTTGTTGAAGAGAGGGACACAATACCCCGCTCCAAATCATGGGGATGGACTCAAAACGGTCAGAGAAAGAGCAGTGGGGTTGGAGGACAAAGAAGGAATTGGTGGTAGCAAGAACTTAGTGCCTTTGCTGGAAGATAAACCATGATTAGGGCAAAAAGAAAATATCTTTAAGCTGACCAGAGCCACAGAAACACCTGCCTTCCAGACTGGAACATCAATCCTGTCCTATGGTCTGACAGGAACATGTACCTCTGCTATCATATTATTCCTCCCTGTAATGGGGCACTTCCTGCTAAAAATCCATCCACATCAAATGTACTTCAGGAGCTTTACTTCAGACCTGTCAAAGCCTGATCCTATTGACTGAATCGATGTTTGGAGCACGTTAACATCATCCAGTTTTGGTTTAATCAAGAAAAAGGCACTGGCACAGGTTGCTCAGAGGGATTTTATACACCCCATCCCTGGAAGTGTTCAAGGCCAGGTTGGATAGGGCTTGGAGCAGCCTGGGCTAGTGGAAGGTGTCCCTTCAAAATTATCTTCAGACTCGCTTCAGAAACACATCCCTAAACCCAAACTCCTGCTACTACCTCACTTCTATTTTATTTTCTGAGCAGCTTGCACTGCTCTCCGGCAGCAAAAAAAATGGATCATTCCCACTGTGCCAACTGGGCTCAGCTGTTTCCTACTCCGCTAAAACCACCA